GTCTCAGTACTGATGGACAACACAGCCGTGGTGTTCTATATAAACAAGCAAGGAGGTGCCCACTTGTCCCAGCTGTGCAGGGAGGTCACCCTCCTTTGGGAGTTTTGCATAGCACATGACATCCGCTTGCAAGCGGCTTACTTGCCGGTGTGCGCAAATACGCTGGCAGACTCACTGAGCAGGTCCTTCAGAGCCCACAAGTGGTCCCTGAAGAACGAGGTGGTGGCCCAACTTTTCCATCAGTGGGGCTGTCCCCAGGTGGATCTGTTCGCCACCAAAGGGAACAGGAAGTACCCACAGAACTTCTTCCTCCTTGGCTTGGGAGCGGGCTCGAAGGGAGATGCACTAACCTCGCTGTGGCCTCGGGGGACGCTGTATACGTTCTCGCCATTCCCCCTGGTTCCCAAGGTGCTCACCAGGATCAGGCTGTTCTGGTATCCCATTCTGTAGGAGATGGTGAGGGACAGGCCGCTTCTCCTGCCACCGACCCGGGACCTCATCACGCAGGCCAGGGAAGGGGGCATCCTGTACCACCCGGATGTCCAGTCCCTCCACCTTACACCTTGGCTTGTCCATGGCTGAAGCCTCCCGAAAGGGCGTGCTCACAGGGGGTGCGGGAGGTTCTCCTGGGTAGTAGAAAACCAACTGCCAGGAGGGCCTATGCTGTTAAGTGGAAACGTTTCTCAGTCTGGGCTGTGGAGAAGGGGGGTTGCCCATCTAGGGCCCCTGTTCCTATGGTCATGGACTATTTGTTTGGTTTTCCCCATGTCAGGGCCCCTGTTCCTCAGTGGGACCTTAATTTGGTGCTGACCAAGCTCATGGGGTCTCCCTTTGAGCCATTGGGTGCCTGCCCCCTTAAGTATCTGAGCTTTAAGGTGGCGTTTCTAGTAGCCATTACGTCAGCTCGGAGGGTATCGGAGCTCCGTGCCCTGACTGTGGAGCCTCCTTACTTAGTCTTTTCAAGAGAGAGGGTGAGGTTGCGCCCCCACCCAGCATTTCTCCCTAAAGTGGTGTTGGCCTTTCACATGTCACAGGACATATACCTCCCAGTTTTCTTTCCCAAACCACCCCACTCCCCTAAGGAGCAGGTGTTAAATTCCCTAGACATGAAGCGAGCCTTAGCATTCTATATAGATAAGATGAAACCATTTCGCAAGTCCTCACAGCTTTTTATTGCATATGCTGAGCGCATGAAAGGGCTTCCTGTGTCCGCTCAGAGGCTGTCAGTGTGGCTATCTTCCTAAATTAGGGAGTGTTACGCTTTGGTGCGTAGGGAACCACTGCGAGTATTAGCACACTCTACTAGGGCGCATGCATCCTTGGTAGCCTTTGGGGTGCAAGTCTCGATTCTTGAGATTTGTAGAGCAATCACGTGGTCCTCTGTTCATACATTCACAGAGCACTATGCGCTCACCCTGCAGGCCTGGGAGGATGCTGCGCTGGGCACCACTGTCCTGGATTCTGTTCTGTTAAAAAAACAAAACAAAACAAAACAAAAAAAACCCACGAGCGTTGGTTCACGCTAGCCTGAAGGTTGGCTTATTATGATCATGGCTCTTGTGTGGTGAATGTTGTTGACTTTAGGTGTTGTCATTTTTCAGTTGTGTTATTAAAAGTTCTAGTTCTGGTCACAGGTGTGTGTGTGTGTGTGTGTGTGTGTCTCTTTCATGAGAGGCAGCTCCGTCCCCACCACTGGTGGGACAGCTTGGAAGTCATGTCATTTGAATGGACATGAGCAATCACTCGAAGAAGAAAGCAGGGTTACTTACCTGTAACTGTTGTTCTTTGAGATGTGTTGCTCATGTCCATTCGACTCCCTCCCTACCTCCCCTGCGTCGGAGTCTCCGGCAAGAAGGAACTGAGGAGGGGAATGGCCGGCAGGGATACTTATGCTCGGTTATAGCGGCGCCACTCCAGGGGGCGGCCTGCTGGGTACCATTGGGGAAAAAATGCTCTGGGAAGCTGTGCACGTGGCACGCGCACACCTCATTCGAATGGTCATGAGCAACACATCTCGAAGAACAACAGTTACAGGTAAGTAACCCTGTTTTTTGGCATTGTGTAGCTGCTGAAGATACAGACTTAATTCCAAACCTCTCTTCTTCAATGTTCTCTACTAATTTCTTCATCATTAATATGTGCAACAAATAGATCCTTACGCTTATAAAAGGGGCAGAGAGATTTCCCGCATGTCTGGGTAAAGCTTGTATGAGTAGATAAGCGTTCCAAAGTGATGTGAAGGCCAACACACTGGCTTTGTCAGAGAAAGGTTGTCACTGAACATGATGCCACCATGTTCTCCCCTGTCACATCAAGATTTTTAGAGTGCCACAGACTGTCTTGACTTGAGTATCACAGAAAAGTTTCCAAACTACCTGGGTCAGAAACAGCATCTTCCACTGCCCTAGTTCAATGCTTCCCAACGTTTTTGAGCATATGGACTCCTTTTCAAACTATTAAAACAATCCATTACTTAATAATCATTTGAAATGTATAATAGTTCATGTTATCTAAACAGAGATAGTAATATTGAGAGATAATACAGTGTGTCAATGTTGAAATGTAACAACTTTGAGGTGCCATATATTTGTATTGAATAAAATGTTATTGGATCCACTGATCCATTTTCGCTAGCAGCCCAACTAAACCCTTCTCACCACGCTAATAGCTTTTGAATAGTTAGAGCAGGGTGACGAATTCAAAAAAGAGAAAAAAATTCTAGAAAGTGACTAACCCGTTTATAAGCTGACTCCAGCATATCAACGCAGCTTGCCAGCTTCAGACTGGGCTGAGGGACATCTATCTTTTCTCCCCCGCCTGTCTTTCCTGAACAGTTTATATCCTTCCACAACAGAGCTCCAATAATGTGAATCATCCCACCAAGTCTCCATTATTCCAATAAAATACAATCACTCTTCATGCCATTGGTTTTCTATATAGATGTGTCAAAAACCAGGCTTATATAACTAAGTCCCAAAATTATGCTGAAAACACTCTTGGTTATTGCTTGATACTGTAAGTCAGGGATTTTCAAACTCTGGGTCAAAGCTTGTAAGGACAAGCTACTACCTGGCTGCGAGATGCTTTGTTTACTTGTGCCTCTGCAGGTATGGATGATCACAGCTCTAGTTGGCTGCGGATTGCCATTCCTGGCCAATGGGAGTTTCGGGAAGCAGTGTGGACCAGGACACTGTGGAGGACCTAGCACAATGGGGGCATATTGACTGGGACGTTTGCATGCTATTGTAATATTAATACATGTTTATAAGAATACCTGTGCAATCTGTCCATTCCAGCTAAATTCTTTGAATACAAGGGAATTCTGTATGTTGAAGAGGTCTTTTGTATTTACTTAAATTCCATAGCTTTCTCTTCAATATTAAGCAAACAGTCTGTAGGGCACAGGATGGCTTCTCTTATTTGACTCTGTTTAGTTGAATATTCTTGTTGCTTCACCGTAGGCCTGATCTACACTTGAGAGTTGTACAGGATACCACCGACTTCCGGACGCCTGAGTTACGACCCCCCACACTTACAACCATTTTGCAAGTGTGAAAAGGGCTGAAAGCCCCCAATTTACATCCTCAGCCCACATTTACGACAGCTCATGGCGCCTATCGTAAATGAGGGTTCGAGTGACGACACCCCGACCTGTAATGCTTCTCTGGGGAACCAATTGCGTCGCAAGTTGGGGGCTACCTGTACTGGTGTAACTAGTTAGGAATGAGATTTTTTTTTTTTACCGTTATAATGTTAATGCAGATGTAGTTGGGCTAGCATAAAACTACCTTGTACTGTTAGTTTATTTTCCTTCCCATACAGGAAGAGCTGTATAGGTTTGTGATGTTAGATAGTGTGTAATTGCATAATCACGGAATTGCATGAAATTTTAGCAGTTACACGATTATTTGATAGTCCCTGGGAGCGGAGCTGGCAGCCAGTGTGCTCCTAGCCCCACTCTCGGGGAGCCCCTTGCCATTCAATGTTGCTGCCTCTATATCAGAGGTAACAGCACGGGGTGGTAGGTGTGAGCTGGTCTGCGAGGGATACAGCAGCGCAGGGCAGCAGCAGCCCTTGTCCCTGAGGGGTCTGAGATCCCAGTGGACAGAGGCTGCTCCATGGGATGCCAGAGCAGCCTATGTCTGGGAGTCCCTGCAGAGAAGGGCTGCTGCTGCGGAGATGCCTGCCCTCCTCTCTCGCATTGGTGCTTCTGATAGAGGCAGCAGCATGGGAGGGGGGAAGGTGCAAATGAAGCCGGGATTTAAATATCTTGCGCTTCATTTGCATAATGGCAGCCTCTGCTTTTTTCGAAACGGGAGAATAGGATCTTTCGAAACGGGGCATTTCTGTCAAAAATGCCCCGTCTAAACTGCTGGGTGTTTTGGAAAAGCCCCATTTCGGGAAAAAAAGCGGCAGGGGCCATTATGCAAAAGAAGCGCGGGATATTTAAATCCCAGCTTCATTTGCACTTTCGATGTGTCTAATTTACATGTCTCTGCCGAAAGAGGGGTGTAGTTTAGACACAGCCGATGAGCCCTTAGTGACTTGGTTTTGTCCTATGCAGATGATGATGAAATCTGTATGTTAAGCTTGTTTTTGTTAAAATTAGAAACAGAGGTTATTAAGTTAATTATTTTAGTTTTTTTTTAAAGAAATTAATAATGAGCATAACTTTTAAGGCTTTGTTTTATTTGTTTGAAACCAGAATATCAATCAGTTGGTCCTGAGCTGCACTTCTGTCATGTCTTTTCGAACACCAGCTTTTTAATGTCAGTCTGCATGTGTGGTGTTGAGATTTTCATTCTCTTAAAATTGTATCTGGGCTGCTCTGTTCTTATTGGCATTGCAAATTCCTGGCTCCTTGGAGAAAAAGGAAACATACTTTTCTGAGTTACTTCCTTCCTAGTGTGCTGCAATTAGGCACTTGAAGATTACTGTGAATAAGAAAGTATCTTGGATTGTGAATAAGAAAGTAATTTGTTTATTTCCTGATGTTACAGATCTGATGACTGGAAGTATTCCCTATGGTCAAGCAATGTTTTCGGCCATTCTTGGTTTTTTTCATTAAATGAATTTAAATTTTGAGGTAAGATTTCTCTTTTATTTCCTTGAAAGTGTGGATGGCTAATGGTTGTGTAACTTCAGTGGGAGCACGGTGATTTAAAACATGCTCTAATACTTCTAAAAAAATCTTTTCAATGTATCTTGTGTCTATAGACTTTAATCAGCATAGAACTTTCTTGAGAAACATGATTGAACTTCTTAAAGTTCTGTATATGTTTATAAAAGAGAAATCAAGCTGCAGAGTAAGTGCAGTGCATGAGCGCTGAGGGCTTCAAATAATCATTAAGTAGGCACTCATTAGTGAAGACTGCAAGTTACTCCCTATTTTTAACTGCCTCCAAGAAGCACATAGTGGTATTAGCATCCAGCAAATGGGCTCTCTAAGCTGTGAGTTGAAGCATGCGATCTTTACTTGGCATGGGAATAAATAAGCCCAAGCGGAGTCCATATTAGCAGACTTTGGAAGAAAAGAGAGAAAAAGAATAGGGAAAATAATTAGCAGACAAATTTCCTAACATGGAAAAGATGGTTTGAATGCAGAGATTTTTTTAGGCCTTTTGTGCGCTAGTGACTGTTTCTCTTAATCCTGCTTAGAACAATCTTTTTTTTTTTAATGGCAGCCATATGTGTAAGATGACATGTTACTACCCTGAAAGGAAACACATGATTGCAGCTGCACCTGTCACTTCATCTCACTTGTTAACTCTCTGAAGTGGCCAGGGAGTTTGGGAGTTGAAATAAGCTTGATTTTTGCTGGGAGGGGACAAGGGTATGTGGACGTCCTGCTTTGAATCCCACAGTTTGTGCTAATCGTGTGTGCCTGGTGTTCTGTGTTCAGGAATAAGATGAGAATTTTAGTCATTAAATAAAGAAAGAGCCACCACAGGCTCTTACCATGTTCTTCCTTGGCACCCTTGAATTTTTTGCTTCCTCACATGTAGACGATACTTACATTTTTATTGGGGATGGGGAACCTATGGGCCTGAGCCTTGTGAGCTGGATCAAGGCAAGTCATGGGCCAGATGTGGTATGTGGGCTCTGCCTGGCAACAGGGAAAGAACAGCTCTGCATGCTGCCTTCCTTCCCTTTCTCTCCTCTCCCCACCTGTGGGAAGGCAGTACAGGGAAGCTGTGTCCCTGTGCTCACTTGCAGGCTCTATCCCTGTCGCTCCCACTAACCGGGAGACACTGTTGATGGGAGTGGTGTAGGCTGGTGCCTGCAGGTGCAGAGTGGCGCAAAGTCACTTGTGCCTCCCCCGCCCTCAGGACCTGTGCTAGGTAGGTGTCCCAAACTCATGCCCTTTCCCTCCCACCCAGACTGCACCCCCATCACCAGCAGACTCCTGCACCCTACCTTCCGCCCAGACCCTGCACCTCACCCACAGCCCTCTCCCCAGCAGCCCCCTCCTTCCTCACACAGAGTAGGGCTGGAGAACAAGGGGAATGAGTATCTCTTTTTTCTCCTCCTCACTTAGGCTTCGAGAGAGGAATGCAAATGCAGCTGAGTGAAATTGCAATTGAAGCCCGGATTTGAATTTCCCGTGCTTCATTTGCATAATAGCGTCTGGGTGCTTTTTCGAAATACTCTATTTCGAAAGAAAAAACGCAGTCTAGATTGGTCATTTCAGGAAAAAAAAAACCTTCTTTCGAAACAACCCTTAAACCTCATTTTTTAAGAAGTAAGGGTTATTTCAAAAGAAGAGGGTTTTTTTTAAATAACCCCGTCTAGACTGTGTTTTTTCTTTCAAAATAGGGTATTTCGAAAAAGCGCCGGACACGATTATGCAAATGAAGCACAGGAAATTCAAATCTGCGCTTCATTTGCAATTTTGCTCAGATGCATTTGCATTTCTCTTTCGAAGGAGGAATGCAGTGTAGACATACCCTTAGGCTATGTCTACTTAGCAGCATTATTTTAGAATGTCAGTTATTCCAGAATTACATAGTGCGCGTCTACACAGCAAGCCTGTTATTTCGATGACTTACTCCAACTCCTGTAACCCTCATTGTATGAGGAGTAAGGGAAGTCAGGGGAAGGCTGCTCTATTTCGAAATAGCGGCTGTGTAGACAGCGCCAAAATAAGCTATTTCGACTTAAGCTATGCAATTAGGCTAGCTCAAGTTTATTTTGAGTTTAGTCCTGCTATGCAGATGTGCCCTTAGGGGCCAGGTCAATGAGGGTTTTTATCTGTCTGTTTTTGTTTCTCACTTGTGTGTGGCCTGTGACTGATTTTTCTAGGAATAAGTGGCCCCGGACCTAAAAAGATTCTCTACTCCTGTTGCAGATTGTAAGCTCAAGGTAGGGCCCTGGGCTGCTTGTTTCGTGAAGTTTCTGATACAGCCGTTCCCTGAGTTGCGAACGGTTGAGTTACGACCGCTTGCACTTACAACCAAAGCTCCCATGGAGCGGTTGTAAAGGCGGTCCCCGAGTTACGAACGCAACCCGCGCTTACGAACAGCACGGTCACGTGTAACTCAATGGGGTCTGAGTTACGAACGGATCGAGTTACGGCCAAGTGTTTGGTCCGTAACTCATTCGTATCTTGGAGAGAGGCTGTACTTGTGTATAAACCACTCTTTTCAGTAATTACACTATTTTTTATTCGCTTTCAATGACGAATGTTGGTCATCACTTACAAATGTGTACCTGGTAGAGGAGTGTCCATGACTATGGATTCTGTGAGTTTTTAATGGTATATCACAATGTTAAATGGCTGCAGAGGCATGTTGGGACTGAAGTCTTCAATTGATAAAAATACTTGTATATGCTCATGCTACTTGCTACCCGAATAGTGCCAATATATTACTTTTCCTGGTCAGCCTGGAAAGTTTTGCAGTGCTGGATAGACACTGTGCTTGTGATGCCACCCTACTCCAGAAAGGAAGAGGATAAATGCGCACAAGTGTTGAAAAAGACACCAAAACAGCAGTAGCACTACAGTTGACTTGATTAACCCAGTAGCTATAACAACACAGTAATGGGGCACTTTCAGAAGGCCCTTAATTGAGCATACATTGTCATGCTTGGAGCCATAGCCTAGATATGTTAACAATTTTTGTTTTCTCCTGCTACCTATCACTGTAGTATCTGAGTACCTTCTATGCAAAAATATAGCAGTAGCCAAGTCTCTGGTGGATGAGAAACTTCTCCCATGGATAAAAGGCATTTTAAAAAAATATTGCAGTAACTTTATTCAGTGTTGATTGAGTGTTTTTTGATTGGTTGGTTGGGTTTGGAGTGGAAAAGGAGAGAGAGAAGTCCATCTGGAAAAGGAAGGCATTGCAGTGTTTCCTGAAGATTTTCAGTCCTCGGATTCCTTTGACCACATGTATCCACTAATTTTCCAAGTTTTCATGTATATCATTCTGGGCTTTTTGAAGCAGAGTGCAACTGTATCTGTGGTGCATAGATGGCAATTTGGTCTTGAATGCAGCTAGGATTTGACTTATTAATTGCCTGGAAGATTGGGCCAGAACTTTAACCTGCCACTGGAAGTTTGTGTGGGAGCCACTGGAGGGACTTGACCATGGGCCTGATGGGACAGCCTGACTTCTCCATTACATCTTATACTAGTTGCAGCCTGGGCATTGTCTACTCATTATAGTAACTCAGACTGAAGAGGTGCCAAACTTCAGGATCATTGTAGCCGGATCCTTACCTGAGAGGAAGGGACAATATTTCCTAGCAAGCTAGAGGGAAATGAGGGCACTTTTAGATACTGATGATAACCTGGTTATCCAAGCTTAGTTGACAGCCTGACAGAACTTTGAGGCTTGGTACCAGGTGATTGCTAACAGGGAGTTTAGAGAGGGAGTTCTCCAGGTGAAGGAGAAGCAGATACAGGACTCTTGAGGGAAGTGTGTTTTGTTACTGGGGCTTTCTTACTGTGTGCTGAGCTTGTGTTTGTTTGGTGTGTGGTGGTGGTAGTTTTTATGTATTTATGTATTTATTTATTTTCTTTCCCTGTTTGAGTGAGGCTTTAGAGAGGGAGTTCTCCAGGTAGAGGAGAAGCAGATACAGGAGTCTTGAGGGAAGTGTGTGTTGTGTTTGGGGCTTTCTTGCTGTGAGCTGAGCTTGTGTTTGTGAGTGAGGGTTGGTGTGTGTTCTTTTTTGTTTTTTGTTTGTTTATTTATTTATTTTCCCCTGTGTTTGAGAGTGAGGCTTTTTTTTTTTCTCGAGAGGGGTGCTGCTTACCGGGAGCTCGCATTCAGGATGTGACTGAGAGGCTTACCAAGCTGATCAAACCTTTGGATCGCTACCCCTTCCTGCTTCTCCACGTGGGAACTAATGATACGGCCAAGAATGATCTTGAGCGTGTTACTGCAGATTATGTAGTGCTAGGAAGAAGGATCCAAGAATTTGGAGCGCAAGTGGTATTCTCCTCCATCCTCCCTGTTGAAGGGAAAGGACTGGGCAGGGATCGTTGAATTGAGGACGTAAATGCGTGGTTGCGCAGATGGTGTCGCAGAGAGGGCTTTGGTTTCTTCGACCATGGGACTCTGTTCTGGGCGCAAGGATTGTTAGGAAGAGATGGGATCCACCTAACGAAGAGAGGAAGGAGCATCTTCGCGGGCAGGCTTGCAAACCTAGTGAGGAGGGCTTTAAACTAGGTTCGTCGGGGGACGGTGACCAAAACCCTGAGGGGAGTGAGAAAGTCGGATACCGGGAAGAAATGCAGAGAGGAAGGGCCAAGAAAGGAGGACCCATGTTTCGAACGGAGAAGATAGGATGATCAACTGGTTACCTGAAGTGTTTGTACACTAATGCGAGAAGCCTGGGCAACAAACAGGAAGAACTGGAGGCCCTGGCCCAGACCAAGAAATATGATTTAATTGGAATAACAGAGACTTGGTGGGATGACTCGCATGACTGAAGCGCTGTCATGGAAGGGTATAGACTGTTCAGGAACAACAGGCAGGGGAGAAAAGGAGGAGGAGTTGCACTGTATGTAAGAGAGCACTACGATTGCTCTGAACTCCAGTATAAAGAGGGAGAAAAACCTGTTGAGAGTCTATGGGTTAA